AAAAAAAAAAAAAAAAAAAAAAAAGGTCATGAACCTCACTATAAGGTCAAGCACACAAACAAACAAGGTCACTAGAGTTTCTGTTATATTCACAACAGGTGTATCGAATGATAAATAACTTAACATCAAGAAGAATTCGAGCTTACCATATTGCTCATGACGATAAAAAGGCTGAGAAAATTGTAGTTCAGGTTCAAACTTTCTTTTGTCAGATATCCTGATTCATTACATCCAGAGACAATCAACGGCTCAATTTCCATCATTAGAAGAAAACAATCAACAGTGGAAAATGTAATGCAATTGCAGTTCCCTTCCCTTCTCATCGAATTACATATTATGCAGAACAAAATTGCCGAAATCCCAACACTAAGGTAATTCTGTCGAATTCAAAACTTGCGTGTCGGGTAGGTAATTCGAATCACGAAAATAACCAATTTGGAGCCACTAACAGCAAACCAACATTGTAGAATATGATCCAAATCACAAATCCAAATTGCAAAGAAATGTGAAGCCACTCAGTTCAATTTATCACAAGAACTAAGGTGCCCAGGTACACGATTAAACTCGGTAAGCTGTTCTCGTCCTAAATTACCCATTATCTGGACAGAATATTATCAAACAGAGAACTAGTTCATCCAACCCATGATCAAGCCACTCATTACAACATTTGTAATACAATTGATGGCACAAAATTTTCAAAGAATTACACGACCACTGAAGTAAAGGTAACACCTTTGCACAATATCATTCAATGGGGGGGGTCAATTTGGAACCAGACGAGAAATTATAGGGAAAAAATGGCACTTACAGAATCGAGGGCTAAGATAACCTTAAACCCTTTGTAGCCCCAAATAGCATTAGATAAAGGAGTGGATCTGAGGGTTTCATCAATTTGGCTCCTCTGCGTTTTCAGCTCACTTTGGCACTCTCCTGTTAAAGGAGGTCAGAGAGGTATTGAATTCTTGAAACTTTAGTGCTATCTCGAAAGGTTTGGATTATAGGGAGATTCTACGGTTCGGTTAAGAATCATTCTAAATCTCGATGAGATGGTTTCGAAACGGGACTGTATATTTTTCTGGATTATAAGGTCAAAAAGAAAAAGAAAAAGAAAAGGCTCGTTTACAACTTTATATTGACATATTTATTAAAAATATGTTCGAGATTCCATAAGTTATGTATGGAGAGTTTAGTGTATAATTATTAGTAAATATTTAGGAATTATAAGATTCCATATAATTATGTATGCTGGATTTTATAGAACTAGTACGTATGTATCCCGTGACAAAAATATTAAATAAGTTATTTTCACATGCTTTGTCCGTTTTAGTATATAAAGCAATATAATTATCATCTATTTTTTCATCTCTTTTAATCAGCGTAAAATATAATAAACAATAAGGTTATAATATATTTTGCACCTCTTTTAATCAATATTATTTTTTAGTAAAAATATTAAAATAATTAATATATTATTTCACTAACACGTTTATCCTAATTTAAATTTGATTTTAGTATATATATATTTATTCCTTGATATAAGAGAGAATAACAATTTTACTTATTCTTGTTCACCATATAATACTTAATCATTATTTTATGTAATCAATTTAAAATATGTAAATAAATTTAATATTAAATTGTGTATAAATATTTTACAAAATATACACATGTTTTTTAGAATTTAATTTTGTATACTAATTAAACAACTTTGATTTAGAAAATGCCAAACACTCGATCCCTTCTATGATCAAGATATTTCTAATTCGCATTATAAGAATTTATGGTTTATTTAGCATACTCAGCAATGAAAATATATTTTACAAGATTAATTATAGAAATAAATCAAAATAAAAAAAAATGAAAAAATATAATCATGGGTGCCAATAATATACGAATAAATTCTAAACAATAGTTAATATATTTCGATTTTATTTTTTTACCATTAGTAAAACTATTTATTGTATCTGGTCATTATCTCTTAAAGAGTAAATTATATTAATTTGAAGAATGACTTTTATTTTTTATATTTAACAAAATAAAGCTTAAGAAACAAATATATTGACAAAGATTAATTCACCAACTTGATTTTGTCTGATTACTTAGAAAATAAATTCTACCTATCCTGTTACGATTTTCCATAAATATTTTTGGATAAAAGGTGAATATTTGTGAAAAAAAACTAATATTATGGTTAGAACTTAAAATATGGTGTAATATATCTTGACCAAAATATTACCAGAATGGATCACAAAAATCAATCTTGTAATTTATTATAATGAATATCAATTAAAGTTTTACAAATATGAATAAAATAATATTTATCTTGACAAAATATTATCAACATGAATCACGGAAATCGATCTTGTAATTTATTATAATAAATATCAATGAAAATACTGTAGATATTAATAAATTTATTTAAATAATTATTTAATCATATGTTATTTGATCTTATTTGAAAACGTGTAAATAAAAATAATTAATGTATATATTTAAGAAATTTTTAAAAATAGTATGCATTAAATGTTTAAATTTTTGCTACTACTATTTTTAGATAATGGTAATTCTTTTTATATAGATATGGATATAGATAGATTTTATAGATTATATGTATTTTATAATAAGGACAAAAAATACTTAATTATATTCCCAACTGATAAATCATTAAATTTTAACCGACTAAATACTTAAATAATAAAGATAGTTAATACAATGCTCAAATAATAACAAACTTTGTAATTCGATATTATATAATGTTGATCAACAAAAATTATTGTACGAATAGTGTAACCATAGAAAAGGTCGACCAACCGCACTCTATAAATAAAAAATGCATAATTTTACCATTCAATAATAAGTTTGTCATGCTTTGTGAAAAAATGGGGATTGCCGAGTGTGGTCAAATTAAGTATATTTTTCCTGTAAACAATTCACAAGTGCTATTATATTCTAATAAGTCCCCTCACTTGTAAGTCTTGCACACGAACCCCAAATCCGACTGAGTTGGAGCTCAAATGGACTGGGAGATAGGTACGAACCCTAAGCCCGACTGAGCTGGGTGCCTAAACTCAAATAGGCTGGAAAGCGGGTACGTCATCCCACTGTCCTAGAACCGTCTCTAATACCATGAAGAAATAGGGGTTGACGGGTGAACTCCAAGCCTTACTGAGCTGGAGCCCAAATGGGCTGGGAGGAGACGGGTACGAACCACAAGCCCGAATGAGTTGCGTGTCTAATCCCCAAATGAGTTGAAAGACGGTACGTTATCGCACGGTCTTAGAATCGACTCTGATACCATGAAAAAAAGGGGTTGACGTGTACGGTTCTACAAAAGTGAAGCGTACTAAAACAAAGTGAAGCGTACTAAAACAAAGTGTGTGTAGATAAGCCTTAATGGAGTTTCAAGTTTAGGTATACACCTGGACAACTCACAATATATATTCTAATATTTGAAACAAATATTTTCTCTAATTATTTTTGCCTCACTCATGTCCCTTCTTTATTGGGAATTTCTGCTTAGCCTTTTGTTTTTTTTTTTTTTTGGTTTTTGTTTTTATATTTTTTAAAGCATAAATAAATAAATAAATACCATGGGAACATAAATACTGGTCTGCCTCCTCTTCAATTCAACCAGCAAGGAAGGCACCAAAAAATACGTTTGATGTTTCTAAGTCAAACGATTTTGGGTGTCAAAAATTAGCATACCGATATATAATACAAACTATATTTGTCTCTTGTTGAATTTCAAAATTGTATCTTTTTGCAAGCATACATCAAATTCTTCTTCTCACAGCAATATTTTCCTCACAAAATTTAATTTTTTTCACTTTCTTGGTGGGGGAATTGGACAATAGAGATTCTTGATTTTGATGTTAATAGCCCATGAGCTGTCCCTTTGAGGAACTATAGCAGAAAAAGGAGATTCTTGATTTTGATTTTGATTTTTTTCCATATTTTTGGGGATTATTGCTTCAAAACTTGTTTTTTTTTTTTTTTTTTTTTTTTTTTTTTTT